TCCGCTTTTAGGCTTGGCTAAATCTATATATTAACTCGTAAGCCTTTGTATCGGTCATGACAGTCATGGCTATCAACATAATCTTTCTTCGAGGAATTTTTCTCAGTGATGCTGCTGCTATATTTTCCGTTGATTTTACTAACCTTTTATGCTCTCTGTTTTTGACAGCTCGTCTTCGATGCTTTTATAATGGCTCTGACAATCATCGACACACTGGTAAGCAGTTGTCACTGAGTTTAGGCGTGTTAATAAGATTCTGTTATGCTAATCCTTTTGTTTTTCACACAGGCCTTGATAGATCAGACAGAGCAAGAGGCTGAGGCTATAAGACAGGCCGAGCTTGAAAAAGAAAAGGAGAAAGAAGCGTTGCAGAAGAAAGCAAAAGACAAGAAAGACAAGAAAGGACGGAAGAGTCCTGGAAAGGGCGGATCACCGTCTAAGACAGAGACACCTCCTCCGCGTATGTTTACCGTTTGGTGTTGTTGAAAACTTATAGCGCATCAAAATTAAGGAATAAAATTGAGACCCACCCCTAAGCTCTATCAGCTATTGTATTAATACGCTGTATCAGGGCTCTTGAAGTTTACTTTACTGAAGAGTAGAGGAACGTTGTTATACCGTAGTAAATTGACATAGCTCCAGCCTAAGGGAAAACAGTGAATTTGTTTACTTGTCTAATCATTTTTAGCTCCACCAGAAGACCAAGAAGGACAGTCTGAAGAAGAGAAGCTCAAGCAGAAAACAAAGGAGAGAGCAAGAAAGGAATTTCTTGGTGCTGTTGGTTCAGAAGGTGAGACGAACAGATCCCCCCAATCTCACCTTCTTTTAAGTCTGCCTTACATCTGTCGTGCATATATTTCTGTATTTCTTGCCCTCATTTTACAAACAACATCGAGTCTTGTGTCTTTCAGACAATGGATTGAAAACCCGCCTTGAAATGATAAAAAACCACGCCATTGCGGTTCTACAGGAACTTAAGGTACTTGTAAACACTTTTTATAGCTGTTGGCCTAATTTTGAGTTGAATGCATCCCACCTGCAGTTCTTACATTCCGGGTAATGATGTAAGCTCTCTGTGATGTTGTGGATTTCTTTACTTCTGGGTGACCACTTGTAGAGCAAACCAAACCATTCCACATAACTCTTGAATGGGTATTATGGTCACGTGACTCCCCGTCTTTTTTTTCTGGAAGCGAGGGCGAAGTATTCCTTCTCTGAATTGGTTTTTAACGAATTCGTTCACTTCTTTGGCATGCTAAATAACTTGCTTTCGTTTTGGAGAATAATTGAAGATAATATTAACAAATTTGTATTTAGAGTCAAGTTTTGCATGGAAAATAACTATCACCCCTTTTGCCAATGTATCTTGGAATATTACGCTCATAACATGAGAAGTCTCTCTTTGTATTTGTAAATGTTTCCCTATCGGTGATGATGTCTCTCTCGACAGAGTTGGTTTGGAGAGGAAAAGATAGTTCACTGTGAAACAGAATACTAAATGCCCTCAACTGGAATATATCTTTTCTCAGCGGGTTTGCTGTGTTGGATGTTGACGTTGATTAAAGGTTCCTATATCTATTTTTCAGCACGTCCCTGTCTAACACTTGCTCAAGGACAAGGCTGGCTCTGCTAGATCACCTGATTTATGAAAAGTGCTTACTGATGACTTCAGACGCAAATAAACCTATGTCTCTTTTCATTTCAGGGAAAGGCGGATTCAACTTACAAAGACATGGATGACTGGCTGGGAGAAAGGTTCCTGCAAGAAGTTGGAAGGTGATTGTCGAAATTCTAAGTTCATAGGTATTACAAGCTAGTCACTGGTAGGTGAAAATATCAATGAATCCTGAAAATGTTAGGCCAGGTGTAGACGAGACATGACACAGTAGCCCAGCATAACACGTTTCTTAACTGGATTTTTTTTTCGGTATTAGCATCAAAGAAATGGCAGAGAATATACGTTTTGCAGTGGAGAAAGAGGAAAAGTTACAAGAAGAAAGTCTTCTGATGGACAAAGACTTTGTTGTCGATCTGGTAAGAGTCTGATGTTGCTTTTCAAAAACAATTTTTTGGTCATAAATGTCAGTCAAAGGAAAATGACCCCTCCCCCCCTCATCGCTTTGGAAAATCTGCGGTAAAGGCGTGGGATGTTTATGTAGCCAAATTGTGTCTTTGTCGTGAAGGTAAACTAAGGGAATTAAAGAGGACTTGAAACTGCTCCATACAGGAAATTTGCTGATCCCAGTTGATTTTATTCGTTCGGGGTAAATACTTTGAGAACAGGATACTACACCTAGTCACCTTTCAATCTGCACTACTGAGGTTCAAGTGAAACAAGTTGTGATTGGAAGTTGAGTTATGAATGGCTTTTCCATCTACTGTGGTAGGTACTAAATGACGTCCTCGTCAATGTGCTTATTGTCCACTCTGCCTTTATATTCTTACTTCCATACTTTACTATTGTCTCTTTTGTAAGGACACCAAGACGTTTAAGACACCCACACCACCGCCGCCTCCAAGCCCAACGGAGGTGCCTCAGAGTGACACATTTACTGTGAATCAACTGTTGAACTTACATCGACAGGTATTGCACCTTTTGTCTGATTGAATGTCTTGGATTGATTGGCAAATACGTAACAGAGACAACCAAACTGTCAAACAGATAGTCGGACAGACAGACAGACAGAAAAAAAAGAGATAGACAACCAATATTACAAACAGACAGTCGAACGGAAAGACAGACAGACAGACAAAGAAATAGTTAGACAACCAAACGGATAAACAAAGAAGTAGTTAGAAAACCAAACTGACAAACAGACAGTCGGATGGACAGACAGACAGTTAGACAAAGAAATTGATAGACCAACAAATATACAGATAGACATAAAGCCAGAAAGTCACGCTGACAGACATGTTTTTTTATTTTTATTTTTAGAAACTCTTTTTAATTTACAATGTATTATTTGTGTGCAACATTGCAGATGTTGGAGACAGCCCCAAGTGGGGTCATTTCCAATCGAGCATTTTGTGACACCATAATGGATATGACAGCTTTAACCGTGAGTGCTGCAAATATACCCTCCAATGTTTCTGTGCTGTCGCTTGTTTTGTCTGTTCGTCTTATTATATTAGCAGTAGCGTACATAAGCGTCCAATTTACGTTGCTTTTGTTTTTATTTCAACAGCACGGGATGGAGCTGCTACCAGACTCGTGGATGAACATAACACAGCAACAGGTGGGTTGAATAGCCCTGATACTATTTCAATCATTTTTCAAACCGCGCAATCCCATAGACAGCCATAGTTACTGTGATAGCTGAAGTGTGTAGTGCCAGACGAGTTGATGTGAGCCGGTCCGGAAACAGCCGTTCGGCCCTAGTGCACTTGTACAGCATTGTTGCAAAAAGTGATCAAAAGCAGTGAACAAGAATGAGAAAATAATTTACGTTTTCGATAAACTGTAAGTTTCTTGTTCAGGCTCAAAAAAAACAAAGGAAACGTTTTTATTGTAGTCTTTTTTGTGGTTTCCCGCGCGCAAGTCTATCGCGTCCTATTTAAGTTAAAACAAACTTTTCGAATGTTTCAAACTTAGTCAGTGATCATATTATAAAATGCTTATTGACTGAGTGTGGTCGAGCCAGATGCGACGTGACCTCGAGCCAAATATATTCCTGTCTGGCCCTCCCGCTCAGTTAATAAGTACATACTAGCCACCGTAAAGAGTTTCAAGGCTGACGTCTCGAGCAGCAGCCCTTCATTAGTGCGAATGACGTATTCAGAGGTTCGCATAATCTTTCTGCATACCAGGGAAAATGACTTCTTATATTTTCACTCACCAGCTACAAGAGGTGTGCTCATTACTTGCTCTGGACACTGAGTTTATTGATTGGCGGAGGTTTCTTTTGGCGGCCGCGCAGCCCTGGCCTCCAGCATCAAAAATGGATTTGTTGTTAACGCTGGAACATTGTCGTGAGGTAGACACTACACTGTCAGGATCTCTAACCCAGCAACGATTTGAACAGGTTTGTATACGTCCGGCAGTGGTATACCTTAGGGTTATTTTTGCGACTACGTAATTTAAAGACTATCGATTTTTGTGATATCATTAGTGCATTGTCATGTGCATGTGCATTGTCCTGTACGTGCACATAACAAAGGATACTTTCCATTGAAGTTTGTTTTCTGATAGTTGCATGGCATGTTATTCAATTAATTTCAAAGGAAATATTTTTCCTGTGTATCGGTGGAGCTTTTCTTTGTCGGATTTAGGATCCCATTCGCCCTCCGGTTACACTTTTGCTTTGTTCTTGTTCAACGTATCAGACGTAAACACAATTTGATTTTCAGAAACTTTTAAGTTAGTTTCTGTTTTTAAGGTTGCATTCGCACAAACACATGGTCTTTTCATGTAACTCGTTATTTACTATCTACAGCTGACATGTTCTCTGTTCTCACGTGTGAGTAGGTAGGACTTTGGTTCTCAGGGCAACAAGAGCTTGAAAATCCTCAAGACCCGGATGAGTCTCCTGCATTTGACAGACTAGGCAAGCTAAAGAATGTAAGTTTAACAAAGTTGTTTTTAAAAGGTGGTTTATAGGATTGCAGTGTGCACCATTTTATGTGGTGAGTTGAGTAAGTGGATTACTCAAGCGAGCACTAAATTATGCAACGAAGTTACCTACTGACTGTAAATATGTGAAAATCATGAATGCGAACTGCGGATAAAGACGTGAATATGAAAGAGATCTTCGCAGTAATGAACATATATGATTTTCAATGATATGTTCACGATCATTTATTCATCACTTCATTGGTTTCTTTGGGACCAACATAGTGACCAGCTCCCAGTTTACTTGTAAGCTCAGTTGGTAGAGCACTGCACCGATATTGCAGAGGTCATGGGTTCAAATCCCGTACAGGCC